AAAGCCGGCAGGAATATGATGATGATGATGATGGCATGATATTTTTATATGATGATGTTAAATGTTCCATTTTGTATTGTTATTATAAACTGTTGCAGGAGTAAGCGTCATAGTTGGAGAATGCTCCAGCTGTGAACCTTACTGAGATTTTCCCCAAAATCTCACCCCCCTTGACCACCCATTTCAGGAAAAGATGAAAGAAAGTAATAAGAAAGTTATGTGGGAAAGAAAGGGTAAGAGACTGGTACGTAAAGAAGAAGAAACTCCACCTACCTGGGAAGAGAAACTAAAGGATCTAACAGATAGAGGCCTATGGACTGAGGCTATGAAATTATTAATAGAAGCTTTTCCACATTATGATTTCGATGAAGCACTAAGTACACAATGGCTAGAGGAACCACAACCACATTATGACTGGGCTTATGATGCGGCATAAATTATGTTTTTATTTATGATTAGTTAATCTTTTTGGGATTACATTAAATAATGTTTAGTGTTATTTATTTTGTATTGACGTTTTAACGCTTTTAATTTTATATGGAATAAGTATGGTTATGTGTTTCCATTCCGCACTCTGATATTTGCATTTGTAAAGTTTAAATTTAGACTTCCGTGCGTTGAATGCATGATGAAGGTGCACCCTATATGTATTTACATTTGGGGTGTTACATTTATGGTATCAGAGCAAAATTTCGGATTAGGATGGAACACTAACCATTTGTTGTATCTATGTACAGCAAGATGCCTCCACGAAGAACCCCTACGCAAGATATACAAGGACAAATTAACACGTTGCGGGACACCATCACCCAATTACAAACCAACACGGGAGATATGTTTCAGAATATAATGAATGAGATCAGAAGGAACCCAAATGCTAATGCAAACAATAACGGAGCAAGCGGCTCGGGAACAGGAGCCGGGGGTCATGGTGAAGGACCCCGACCTCCTCCAAGAAACGGTGCGGCAGGTCAAGATAACCAAGGACTACTGTTGGCGTTTAGAAAGCACAAACCACCCTCCTTTCAAGGAAGTCCTGACTCAATGGCAGCTGTACAATGGCTGCAAGCAATGGACAAGATTTTTCGAGTTATCCAATGCACCGACGATCAGAAGGTGCTATTCTCGACGTACATGCTAGAAGGATATGCTCACCACTGGTGGGCAAATGCGTCCCAACCGTTGGAAATGCAGAATGCGGTTATAACTTGGGCCGTGTTCGAGGAAATGTTCTTGGAGAAATACTTTCCGATGTCAATCCGGGATAGTAAACAAGGAGAATTTGACAAACTGGTTCAAGGAACGATGACGGTGGACCAGTATCATGCTAAGTTTAATGAGTTACTAAGATTGGCAACGTACAGAGGAGCAATGCCTTTACCAGACTTTCTGATGGCGAAGTTTCAAAGGGGTCTGAATCCCAGAATTGTTGAGCTAGTAGCCGGCAACGACCCATGTGACTTTGCAACCCTAATCAATCGATGCAGAAGAGTGGAAGCTATTGGCCAACAGAAGAAACCCGTGGAAGCTAGCGGGAATGGTTATAAAGGAAAGACTGGACCATGGCGAGGAAACAACGGAGGAAAGCCCTGGCAGCCCAGGCGAGATGACAACAAGTTCAAGAGACCCGGAAACTACCGGGGAAACAACAGCCACAACAACAAACCTCCGAACTGTCCAAAATGCAAGAAGCCTCATTACGATAACTGTCTAAGTGGAACCCCAAACTGCTACAAGTGTGGAAAAGAAGGACACTATGTCAAGAACTGTCCACTATGGGGAAACCAACAAGCAACAGAAGAAGCACCAAGGATGGGCAGAGTTTACACCCTCGATCAACACACGGCAGACCAGGCAGCTGAACTGGTGAAAGGTACGATCTATATTTGCCATGAAAATTTAGATGTACTATTTGATTCTGGTGCTACGAATTCGTTTGTCGCCGATTATGTGGCGAAAGCGTACGATTTATTTACTGATAGACTGCAAGTACCTATGCGGATCATGACCGCGACGGGAAAAGTTGCTAAGGCGTACCTACTATGTAGAGACGTCGCATTTATCTATGAAGGAAAGAAGTACAAACAGGACTTCATAGTCCTCCCACTAGAGAAGATCAATGTGATTCTAGGGATGGACTGGCTCGCCAAGCAGCGAGTGGTGATTGACTGCAGCAATCGCAGTTTGATTATCGGCAAAGAAGGAGCAGAAGAAAACTCAGCGCCTGAAACAAGAGAATGCTCCATGATAATGATGGGAACTCTTGTAGGAGAAGAAGAGATACCACTGTCCAACATTCTAGTGGTTAAGGAGTTTGAGGATGTTTTTCCCGATGATATCACCAATTTCCCTCCAGAACGAGAGGTACAATTTTCAATTGAGCTAGTACCGGGAACTGGGCCAATTTCAATTGCGCCCTACCGTATGTCACCACTTGAACTTGTGGAATTAAAGAAGCAATTGGAAGACTTAATAAAGAAAAATTTTATCAGACCCAGTGTGTCTCCATGGGGAGCGCCAATATTATTTGTGAAGAAGAAGGACGGGTCAATGAGACTATGCACGGATTACCGACAGCTCTACAAGGTTACTGTGAAGAACAAGTACCCACTGCCTCGTATTGAGGACTTAATTGATCAGCTGAGAGGTGCAAGAGTATTTTCAAAGATCGATCTCCGATCAGGATATCATCAGATCCGGATCAAGCCGGAAGACGTTCCGAAGACAGCATTCAGATCAAGATATGGGCACTACGAGTACCTGGTCATTCCTTTCGGACTAACAAATGCCCCAACAGTGTTCATGGGATATATGAATCAAATATTCAAACCTTATCTGGATCAATTTGTTGTCGTGTTTATCGATGACATATTGATATACTCAAAGAGCAAGGAGGAGCATGAGGAGCATCTGAGAATCGTGCTGCAAATATTACGGGAGAAACAGCTATACGCCAAACCATCCAAAAGTGAATTTTGGCTGCCCGAGATTCAATTCCTTGGGCATGTGATATCAGATAAAGGAGTAGCGGTGGACCCCAGTAAAATCAAAGCAGTAGTTGACTGGGAGCGACCCAAGACGGTCACAGAGATAAGAAGCTTTCTTGGATTGGCAGGGTATTATAGAAGATTTATTGAAGGATTCTCGAAGCGGGTGTTACCACTCACCCGATTAACAAGGAAGGAAGTCCCTTTTGTGTGGACTGATGAATGCGAAGTTTGCTTTCAGAAGTTAAAGAAGATGCTGACGACAGCCCCAGTGCTGACATTACCAAACCCTGAAGAACCATTTGAAGTTTATTGTGATGCCTCAAAGATGGGTTTGAGATGTGTGCTTATGCAAAATGGCAGACCAGTCGCGTACGCATCTCGACAGTTGAAGTCACATGAAGAGAATTATCCCACTCATGATCTTGAGTTGGCAGCAATCGTATTTGCTTTGAAGATATGGCGTCATCACTTATACGGTGCTACTACGACAGTATATAGTGACCACAAAAGCCTCAAGTACTTATTTGATCAGAAGGAGCTGAACATGAGACAGCGCCGATGGATGGAATTCCTGAAAGATTATGACTTTGAACTAAAGTATCATCCCGGCAAGGCGAATGTAGTTGCTGATGCCTTGAGCAGAAAAGTCAGAGGAATTGCAAGTATGATGATAGCCGAACAACAATTGATTGAAGATTTCCGAGATTTAAATCTCGCAGTGGTAAACAGTGAATGCGGACAGGAATATTACGCAGTACAAATCCAAGATGAACTCTTAGAGAGGATCAAGGAAGCCCAACAAGCCGTAGATTGTTTGAAACGGTTAAGAAATCAACCTGGAGTTAGTTTAAATCAACAAGGTATAATTACCTTTCAAGGGAAAATTGTCGTCCCTACACGACTCTTGAGAGATGAAGTGATGGAAATAGCCCACAAGAGTCAGTACTCGATTCACCCAGGAGCCACCAAAATGTACGCAGACATGAAGAATAATTTCTGGTGGAAAGGAATGAAGAGAGATGTTGGAAGATTCGTAAGCAAATGTATGGTGTGCCAGAAAGTAAAGATAGAGCATCAACGACCAGCGGGCACCCTACAGCCCTTGCATATTCCCGAATGGAAATTGCAAAGTATTTCTATGGACTTTGTAACCAGTCTACCCAGAACTCAAGCAGGCTACGATGCCATCTGGGTAGTGGTCGACAGATTGACCAAGTCAGCACACTTTATACCGGTGAAAGGAACGTACACGACAGAGAAGCTGGCTCAAATTTATGTGAAGGAGATTGTAAGACTGCACGGAGTACCAGAAAGTATAATCAGTGATCGGGATCCTAAGTTTACATCCCGATTCTGGTATTCATTACAGCAGGCGTTCGGAACTCAATTACGATTGAGTACGGCGTACCATCCGCAGACAGACGGACAGACTGAAAGAACAATACAGACACTGGAAGACATGTTAAGAGCTTGCGCTTTAGAAAGAGAAGGTTGTTGGGATCAGTATCTGCCTTTGGTAGAATTTTCTTACAACAACAGTCATCATGCAAGTATAGGAATGGCCCCGTATGAAGCTCTGTATGGAAGAAGGTGTCGAACACGTGTATGCTGGGAAGAAGTGGGCGATAAAGAAATGTTTGGGCCAGATATGGTGAACGAAACAAATAAGCAGATAAAGATGATTCGTGACAGGATGCAGAAGGCTCAGGACAGACAAAAGAGTTATTATGATTTGAAGCACCGACCCCTAGACTTTGAAGTAGGGGAACATGTATTTGTTAAGCTCTCTCCTATTACAGGTATTGGAAGAGCACTCGGTGTAAGAAAGTTAAGTCCGCGTTATATCGGTCCTTATCAGATTCTGAAAAGGATGGGGCCGGTAGCTTATCAGTTGGCATCTTTTTTTTTTTTACTTAAAATGACATAATTTTATGTCCTTTAAAATAGTACACATTTTTTCCATATAACTATTATTATTAGAATTAATTTACTTCTGTGTCTGAGTTCTAGTCACCATTTCTTCCATGAATCCTTGTCGATCTTTTTCTCAATTGCTGGCAGTCTGGCACTTTTGAGCGAATAAACTAGATTCAGTAGTGTTGACATTTTTCTGTAAAAAATAATAGTAAAAGTAAAAATAAAATAAAAAATTTGCTGAAGGAATCTTCGCTTAATTAGGGTCAATTAAGAAAAGAATAGCCAGAACATCAAACAAGTGATGTTGGCCATATCAAATACTCATCACATCTGAATGCATGTATAAAGAATTAATTCACGGGTTACACACAACATTTAGGCTAAAATTCGGAAATTAGAGCAGACACATAATGTTCAAGTGATGGTGGTTTGTTGTATAGGAGTTCATATGGTGGTTTGTTATTTAAAAGTGGTGTGGAGGTTCTGTTTATGATGTGTATGGCATGAGAAATTGCATAGGTCCATAGGCTAAGTGGTAATTTGGCTTGAAAGAAAATAGAACGAGCTGCATTAAGGATATGTTGCTGTTTACGTTCTGCAATCCCATTTTGTTGGGGTGATTCAACATAAGAACGTTGATGTTCAATCCCTTTTGAGAGATAGAAATCAGTCATAAGGAATTCAGCTCCATTATCACTTCTGATGATTTTTATGGAGGATTTGAATTGATTTTCAACATAGGTAGTAAAGTGTTTTAAATTGTTTCGTACCTCAGCTTTGTTCTTTAAAAGAATAGCCCATGTAAAACGTGTATAGTCATTTACAATTGTTAAGAAATATCGATGGCCATGTAAAGAAGTTGTGGAGAAGGGACCCCAAATGTCAGTATGTATTAATTGGAAAGGAAATGTAGTTTTGATTGTACTAGAAATGTAAGGTAATTTTCTTTGTTTTGAGAAATGACATATATCACAGGGATCTATTTTATTACATGAAATGAAAGGGAAGTAGATGGACATGGTCTTCATGACTGGTTCAGAAGGATGACCAAGTCTTTGGTGCCATATCAATGCATCATTGGAGTTCACTTTATTGCAGAAACTTTTCTTTACAGATCCTTCATATGTCTTCAATATGTAGAGTCCATCTAATTGTTTAGCTGAACCAATCGTCTTGTTGGTTGATATCTGTTGGATGAAACAAGTCAAGTCATGAAAAAGAATGTAGGATTGGGTGTCTTGAAGAAGTTTGGTTACTGAAATCAAATTGACACGAAAGGATGGTACATAGAGAACATTTTTAAGAACTAAAGAATCAGAAATTCTTGCTGTGCCTGATTGTGTTGTGGTAATTTGAGTGCCATTTGGAAGTGTGATGTGTATGGGATTTATGGATTGGACACATGAAAGATTAGAGAAAATATATGTCATGTGATCTGTAGCTCCAGTGTCCAGAATCCAATGGTTTGATTTTATACCTGATACTGTGTTACCTATATTGAAAGCAGATGAGTGGGTTTGAATCATATTGGATGAGTGAGGCAGCTTTGATCTTTGTAGAAGTTCCAGAATTTCTTGATGTTGTTCTTTTGAAAAGGCAAGATTCAGAGATTCTGGTTCAGGTTCTGGATCAGTATTGTGTACACTATCATCAAATTCTAGTGAAACAAAGTTTGTAGCAGCAGCAGCAGCAACATATGGTCTTCTGGTTTGGTATCCTGGTGGAAATCCATGCTTGAGATAGCATGTCTCGATGGTATGGTTTGTTCTCTTGCAATATGTGCAAAACTTATTTCCACGACCTCTTCCTTGATTGAAACCTTGGCCTCTTCCTTGATTAAAACCTTGGCCTCTTCCTTGATTGAAACCATGGTTGAAGTTCTGATTAAAATTTGGATGATATCGAGTCTGTCCTCTGTCTAGTTGTCCTCTAGAATTTTTTTGTTCAGCAATATTGATGAAAGATTGTGAATCTTGGACTCCTATTTTCAGGCGCCTTTCTAGCTGAAGAATCAATGAGAATACTTTGTTAACACATGGAAGAGGGTCTAATAGCATTACTTGAGCTCTCACATGTTCAAATTGGTCATTTAACCCTTTCAAGAATCATATTACATAGTCCCTTTCCCGAGTATCCTTTACTTGTGTTGCTGCTCCACATGCGCAAGATGGTAAAATTGGCTGTAAGCTTTCTAATTCATCCCATAAAATCTTTAATTGGGTGAAGTAATCTGAAACACATTTGTATCCTTGCTGCAATTTGAAAATTTCATCTTGAAGAACAGAAATTCTAAACATATCAGTTTGAGCAAACCTGTCTTTCAAGTTGTTCCATATATCATCTGCTTTCTCCATCCAAAGCACTGATTGTGCAATGGATCGATTGAGCCAAGAAATTATCATAGTGTTACACCTTTCCCATGAACCAAATAGAGGACTGCCATCACCTGGTTTCTTGATTGTTCCATTAACAAAACCAAGCTTGTTCTTGGATAGGAGTGCCATACGCATTGATCTTTGCCATGTGTGGAAGTACTTTCCATTCATTGAAGGAGATACTAAGACCAGCGATGAGCTTTCATTGGGATGTAGGTAATAGGGATTGGATTCTGGTGCTGGTGTTGTATTCTGGTTTGGTACTGCTCTTTGAGTTGGTGCTGATGCTGCATCTTCCATTTTCTTGATTGATGAAAAGAAAACAGAAAATTTCGAAAGGAAGAAGAAGGAAAATCTTTTGAGAAGAATTGGGAACAAGAGAGGGTGAATACCAGAGCTCTAGATGAGCTCTGCTACCATATTGAAAACTAGATAAAAGATGAAAAAGATTGAATGTATTGAATGAATTCTCAAGGTTACATTGCTGATATATATACAACAGCAATCAAACTAAAGCACGAAAGCAAAGACTCTTTAACTGTAAATAATAGAAATAACTAACATCTAACTAACAGACTTCTAACTAACTGAATTAATTACAAGCTACTGTATATATTAACAAAAAGAACAAGAAGTTAAACGACGTTGCGCCCGACACATGGAGAGAAAATAAATAAGTGTATTGTATTGATTCAAATAAGGTTGTTGGAGCCTGGAGACAAATTAATACCCGTATTTAAATAAATAAGTGTATTGTATTGATTCAAATAAGGTTGCTGGAGACAAATTAATACCCCTACGTTGATAAAACTGTTGGTCATAGATGAGGCAAGAATCAATTATCCTGATCTGTAGGTAGAAGTCCCAAAAACTAGTTTTTATTACTAATATTTAGACAAAAGTGGGCTCGTTCAAACAAAATCAAAAGCATGCAATAATTGACGTGTGAAAGTTGAACAAGTGAGGATACAAATATGTGTTAGATTTTTTTTAATATTATTTTTGAAAGGGGATTAAAATCCTAATTCTAAATCCGTCTTGAACTCCAAATTAGTTGGGAACCTATAAGATTACCGGAGGATAATGTTAAAAAAAACAAAAATCAGAAACATGCAACTTTTTATTAAAAAAAAAAAACAAGTGTTAAGATCGATCTCTTTTTTGATTAATTTGAAAAAATTAATAAAATAAAATGAAAGATAAAAGCATTCCACATAATAAAAATATTTTATTTAACATTTATTATAACTAAAGAATTTTTATTTATTACCAAAAAAAGAGAGAGCAAGTAATCTTGCCACGTCATATCCTTTGTAGGTATATAATAAATCAGAATCGTTAGATATAAATATGATTGACGATGCAAGATTGGAAATGTAACTGTCTAAAATGATTTTGATCCAATAGATAATTGATATTACGAAATAACCTTATTTTCTTTAACTTTTATTCCAGGCCGTTTGACGCGACATAATTACAAAAATTAGAATCCTAACATTTTCAATAATTTTCACAATAGAGAATGAAAAGACAATTATTAATTATATCAATTAAGGGTTTTATATTTCTCATTCAACATGAGAATTGAATTCTCATGTTGTAGAGACAAAAAACATGTGGGACCCGTATGTAAGAAAAAATTATGTGTAGGACCCACGTTGACACCGAAATCGAAGGGTGTTAGGAAAATTCAAATTATCATGTTAAATGAGAATTATAAAACCCATCAATTAAATATATGTTATGCATCATCAATATTAGTTAAGTAATCTAGTCTAAACATTCATCATATATCATTTTATTTATGAGATTAATGTTTTTAATATTGTAAGAGATAATTTTATCTCTATATATATATATATATATATATATATATATATATATATATATATATAATATGTGAGGTTTATATTATCTTTTTCTTTCACTTCTCTTCACATGGACCTCGTACACTAAATATATCACTTAATATTATCTTTTTAAGGGCTGTAAATACAAATGTTAACATGTAAGTTCATTTGATGCCTATAACCTGTTATAGATAACTCATCATTAGGGGTTTGAGGGTTTCGTATATATAACAGACCAATTCCCAATACCAAATAATTTCCTTGCTAAACTTTGACCCCATAATAAATTTATGGCAAATTTCATCTACTTATCCTAATAAGAAATATTGGAAATTAGGTATAGCAGATGAGAAAAAAGGTGACCCACACAATTGACGGAGAGACAGCTATTTGATCTTGTGCATGTCAGCCATGACTGACACAGACCGGGAGCAACCTTATAACAAGGGAACAAAACTATACATAGTGATACGGTGGTGGGTACTCCTTTTTTTCAAATATAAAAATTTTTATTTTCATTTTTGAAATTTTTTTTCTGGCCACCTTTAAATTTTTTCCACGTTTGGAAAAAGGAAATACCTACTTGGGTATTCCTATAGGTTGGAATTGGTTGTTGCGTTTAAAGCGTTCCATAATTCAGTACAAGGGTAGTTATATATCTTTGGATCACTTTGAAGAGACATTAATTAGGCATTGCCATATAAATCCCTGCTATGTAGATACTTAGACCATGACATTTAAATAGTTATTATCTCGTGGGACGTGGCAGCAATATATAATGTATAATTGTGTATATATTACATAATGAGGGGTGCTGCTTTTCCAATAGCAATTAAAACGTGTGATATAAGTCG